AAAGTTTTGATGTAAAAATATATCAGGACTTCTCAGAAATCTTTTTAATACAAAATGGGCTTCTTTGAAATATCGCGCGATATCTTGATAACTTTGATTCAAATATTACGAGTGGCGCGTCTTGGAAAACTTGTTCCACTTCTTCCTCTCCTTTATTTCCCGTATCGCGGTCGCGTACGTCAGTGTAACGTTGAAGTTTCCACTTTTTAGACGTCACGTGACACGAATTCGAAGAGTCGACCCGCGTGATACCCGTATAAACGGAGTACGTGTTTGAAACTTTAGTGTGTGTATGACAAAAAGACTTGTATTAAATTAACTTTTAGCGCTAACGACTCCGTGATAAATTATCGTGCGAATTGTAAATTGCAGGATTTTACGCATTTCCTCGTGCGCAATGCCCACATAGTTTTGTCTCAGGAGGGCTCGGAGAGACGCGCGGTAAGCTGACCATTATTCTCTTTAAACTGTTGCGAGGCAAAAAATATGAATACTTCGAGCAGCCTCGAAAATCCTCTTTCCGCTCGTCGTTTCACTCCCGGCATTACTTCTTCATTCAAAGTCTCTTAAAACATTCTTTCTTACGAGAGTCACGGTACCGCGGTGCACCGCAGACACAGCAGCAGCAGCAGCGTTTCTTCTACTCTTTACTCAGTAACGACGTTGCTCCTCGGAGCGAAACATCAAAGTTCCTGCTTCCACAGACGCCGAGCGAATGCAAGCTGCCAAATGGAAGATCCGCACGCGCGGCATCCGTGCGTCGGCATCACCGTCGCGACGGCTCGAGGATGCACGTCGGTGAACGCTCCGGTGCTCGCTTGAAAGCTTCTGGGTCATGAACGAACATCACGAGGGGGGAGGGGGATTACGCCCCGGCCGACGTCTGTTATTTCCAGAGTGCGCGGGAGATACACACGGCGGTGCACGTCGGCGGAACGCCGAACTTTCTTTCTCGCCCCGCGTAAGTGTGCCTGCGTAAAAGGAAGATGCGGTGCCGTTTGTAACGAGCTGCCGACCCCCCGGCTGCAAACGTAAGCGGGCGGAAGTTATCCAAGTAGTCGACGAAATGGGAGAGATCGTGCCGCGCCACCTCTCTCTCTTTCTCTCTCTCTCTGTGAATTGCGCCAGTTAACACCACCATCGGAAGTCTTACGGTTATGGTCATTGCGCCAGTTTGGACACGGTATCGCAGCCGCGAGCGTCGGGATAAGACGAGCACCGGAATTCGACAGTCCGTTAACGCGTTTAGCCCGAAATGACAAAGTTATCGTTGCACCGAAGGTGTGACGAAGTTAATATCGCGTCTCGGGTGAGATATCATGGCCGCATAGCGGCGCCAGCGCGGTCTTAACAACGAGCCGCGGGATATTGTCGAGGTCGCCCCACGGGTCCGGAAAATGGGACGTCTGCCTCTTCCCTACGTCGGCTTCCGGGAGGAGACGAACGGATTCATATGTCGAAGAACTTGTTGAACTTGAAGATATCAGGGAAGTTGGGCGTTGAAGTTACATAGCGCTCCAAGTACACGGGCGCGCAACCAATCTTACATGTAGCTAACGTTACATCTGCGAAGCTGAATTTCGCGCCGAGTTTCAACTGACGAAGTTGACAGTATCTCTTCGACTGAATCTCTTTTCGGGTCGTATTCTGTGCTAAGTTTGCATTGAACACGCAATACGAGTCAAGTCGACTGTTAGTCGACTATTTACCCAGGTTCAAACGCGCACGTCGAGATTCGTTGAAGGGCTGCGGCGAAGCGTACTTCGGTTTGTCATAGTATCTTGACAAACAAGAGCGTTTGACTTTGCCGCGGCTTGTCAGATGTTGCCTTTGCTTATCCACTTTTGTTCTCACGGCTGACAAAATTAGGCAACTAATTTGTAGACAATAATCATCGTAATACTAAGAATAGAACGATGACCGATGATGAAAGAGCAGCGAAATACAAAGGAGATCTCCGTAAAGACGCATCGACGTTTTCGACCTCGATGGAAGTCGAGCGGAATAATACTCGCGAGGCAGCGGAATACGAGAACAGACGTTTTGCAAAATGTAACGTTAGCTCGCACGAGATTTGCCCGGTCATCAGAACAGCGGCGCTACAAAACGCTTCCGTGACTCTTTCATTCGACGTTTTGCATTTGAAATTAGCAGCCGGAAAAGAGAACTTTGATGTTCGAGTACTGCTGGTACGTTGTCACAATGTCGGTGCGACAGTAGTCTTGTAGTAATTGCGTCGGTGGAACGTCGTTTTACGTGATGCCCGTCGTAGACGTCGTCGGGTAGAAAGAAAAAGATGTTGCGGTAGAACCCGCAGGGATGTCTCGTTCCTTTCTCACGACACGATATTAAATCGGCCCTCTTTTTCTCTGAGCCGTACTACAAGTACTACGGCGATGCTGTGCAAATGCCTTGCAAAAAATTTGATTTATTTCCGGGAGTAGTGGTTAATTACTGAATAAGCGTTCGTATTGCCGGGAGAGATGCCCACGGGAGGAAAGTATTCGTTTCTGCACATTTCCGACCGAAGAAACACTGCAGCCGGGACGCGCGGCAAATTTTTATGAAGAAAGAAAAGAATACTGAAAAAAGCTCCGTGACACTAAACTCATTATCAGAAAATTATCTCGCATATTCGATTACGTAATTCCAATATTTTTGTACAAGTTAAATGTTAGTTACAGTTGTGTTTCGTGTAACTTTATTTTATATTGTGTGAAACAAAATTTTTGAAAAGTTAACTTTTCATCATTTTGACGAGACAAAACTTTAAACTAGGATATTAATAACATCCAACAACAAACAATTCTATTAGAGTTTATTTATTTAGAATTTATTTTTTAATACAATATTGACGATGCGTGGAAACTTTCGCAGGATTCTTTCTCGCTGGCAGTCTAGAGAATTTAATCGGTTTTCCCAAACTGGTACATGCGTTTCCCAGGTATTGTTAGTCGTCGGTAAAATGTCAGTCAAATGGAGAAAGACAGGAGATGGGCGGTGCAAAGCCAGATTTAAGGCGAAGAGCTCCGCTCGTCGAGGTGACGCGTTCTAGACACGTCTTACAGCAAATGAGTGCTGATATCTCCTCTTCCGCTAGAAGGAAACATTCGTGTTTGTCGAAACTCGGCTTATACTACGCATTACCTTAATGCGTAAAAAGCGTCGTAAATTGATTTTAAAATTTAGATTTTTCAAAAAACAAATTAATACCATTTACACGGCATTTACGTGGGAAATCAAAATAATTTCCCCGATTTTAACTAGTTCATATCGCATTTGTTTGTGTTTTTAAATCAAAAGATGGTAATCATTTGTTTCACATATTGACTTTATCAATTTATTTAAAAAATGTAATTTATGAAATTATTTTTAAATTATTTACAGAAAAATTTATAACAACTTTTAATCAGATTTAATCATTTGTACAAATAAATGATTTATATAAAAGCAACGTAACGTTATTACGTTATTACAGAGAGCGGAATGCTCGTTTGATTTCGTAAAAAATTTTTATTCGAGATATAATTTTGTTGAAGTCAAAGAGAGAGTTGCGTGGTATTAAATGAACTGCGCTGATCATTCACGGCTAAATCCGTATCCACTCCCGATATACGTAATGATGTAAAGTACGGATTGCTTTAAATCTCCATTGACCCTAATCCATTTTACCAAGAAATCTGCAGGAAAAATCAGATTTAATTCGAGTATATCGATATACTATATCTAGTATCTTTAATGGGAAGTGTTATCGACATCGTTAGAAATTATTCAGGGAACTTGTTTAATATCTCACGATATCAACCGAGAAATTTCGAGATCAACGAACCTGTTTACTCGCATTAATGGGTACCATCGGTTCCCTTCGTGCTACGGTAGGATGATCACCGAACTATACCGCATCTCAAATAGCTTGATGCGTTCCGATCGATTCTCATTCACCATAAGTAGAATTAGCCGATCAATACTGTACTTGTTAAAACTTGATTCTTGATAAACATTTCAATCGATTTATATGTTTCCAGCGTGTTAATCATGCCAATATCTAATAAAACAACTCATGTTTGTTGTACGATATTATGTATCATATTAAAAAATGTTGTGGAGATAAAGTTTTGAAATGTTCATTTTCCAAGCAAATTACAAATTTTTATGATAAATTTGTTAATTGATGAGAATTTAGAAAATGAAAATATCTTTCATACTTGTTTAACATTTGTTTTGTCGAGAAGAAATTATTTGGTCGTTGGAGACAAAATCAATATATACACATGTCAATACATAAATACACAATTGCTTTTGTTCAAACATTAAATTAATTGAGCGTATTATATAATTAATATAACCAATATTTGTTACATAGTTGATTCTATTGAATACGATTATTGGTACAATTGTAGAGAGACACAATTAATACTCTGGTGTATTAACAAAAGAACTGATTAAATTGATAAATCATTAACAGTTCTTTTCACAGTGCATACTTGCATCGCATCAAATGCTTTATTTGTAATATTTTTACGAAAGGCACTCACACACACACACACACACACATTTTATTCTTAATAGCTCTTAATAGGTTCTTAATAGCTCTTCAAAATGTAATATTTCACTATTTTTCACAAGATTCAAAAGTTCCACAAGATTCGCAAGTCTTAAGATTCAAAAGTTATCCTTAGCCAATCCGTTCCAAACCCATAATTCTTTTGGAACAAAATGTCGCCGGGAGAGTCAACCGAATTCATAGAGCGCACCGTATGCGGACGAGAGTTCACAGCATGCGCTCGCGTGTGATAGCTATAACAAGGGAGCAGCAATAAAAGTCGCGTCAGGAATTTCCGAGCGTCCCAGCGGCGTCCCACTGTTTCTCTCTCGTGAAACGAGGCTCTCGACGGTTCGCGTCCGACGCGAGAGAATCGACTTCTCCGCGGGTGAGCCCGAGACGTGAACCGTATCGCCAATAACTTCCGCATTACATCGTCACGATGGTTACGTTGCAGAGCGCCGGTGAATGAGGACGCGAGGGACGCACGGCGGCGGCCTTGAGGCAGGCTTGAACGGGCGAGCCGGAAAAATATGGTGCACGAGGGCACAGGTCTATGGCACGCGGCGGGATTCAACGCATCGAGGTGGCTGATGATCATAATACACGGATACCGAGCCACCACCCTCATCCTGTATATCCTGCTCAACGTGCTGGTGCGCACCGGTGAGTATAATCACTTTCCGGATTCTCCCTTCGGTGGCGTTTGTTTTTCCACGGCTTGTTTGCGCACGCCCTCCCGGCCGTCGTCAAAGCCGAGCCGGATTCCGTAAAGTAAGGACAGTTTCGAGCGCTACTCGCATCGGATGCTTCCTTTTCTTATCCACTTGCACGACATTCGCATAGTTTCACAAAAATTTCTTCTAAATGTATCATGCGTTTCTGTATTTTAAATTGGATATTTTTTATAAATCGGTAATCGTGTGTGGAATGTGTTATTTCGGGAAGGACAGTTATTATAATAAATATTTAAGTATAAAATAAATTACAATTCTAATAAAAATAATACAAAAATAAGGGCTTTACAGACATTACAATTTTTAAAAATACAACGAAAAATTACGTAAAGCCCGAGCCAGATCTTTATTGCTCAAATTCTTTCGAGAAGAAACACAAAACAGACATTTTGGCCACTAAACGTTTTATCATCAGTGTAACAATTCAAAAAGTTAAAAATAAATATCTGCGTGTACAGATCATAGAGGTTAACGCTTACATAGAAATAATCAAAGATAAAATTCAATCTTGGACTCGCAAAATTTTAAAAACGTAAACGAAATGAAACAGTCAACGAAAAGACAATAATTAGTAATAAAAAATTTATTCTTGACATACGTAAAATGACATTGGTAAGGAGCTTAGAAGGTACATCCGAAAAATCCAAAAAGGTTTTAATCTTTGTTGAATCCATGCGTGATAAATTTGGAAATTATTAATTGTTGTTTCCAATGGTAAAATATTGAGGCCAAATTGGATGTTCCTCCATATGGTGTGTGTGATTAAAATGAAAGATAGCGTCTCTTTTCAAATATTATAAGCAGTGAAGCGATCACCATCAACCTCGCAGCACGGGCGGAAGCAAATGAAAAGAAACTCATGTCAAAGAAATGTAAAACAAAAAATTTGTCATCGGAATAAAAGAACGTGTTTAACAATCAAAAATTCCCCGACGACTTATCATTAGGGAACGAGTGTCAATAATAAATTAGAATTGATGTGTGATTAATATTGTATTAACACATGTATGTGTGACTGAACTTTTGGAAATTGGAAATAAAGATTTATTTTCAGAGGATGATCATATGTATCTCTTATGAGATATAAGGCCTATGTAGATAGATTTCACAAATACTGTCTATCATATATAGCCTTAAAGTTATTTAAAAAAGGTTAAAAAACACAATTTTCCTCTTTTTCTAAAAAAAAATTTACGCAAAATTGTGTATGATGCACGAAAAGTGATTAATTTTGAATATTTTAATTTCGTATAAAATAAATGTTTTTATCAGTGCAGTTAAAGTTGTTAAATATGAAAGATTCGCGTGCATTATATTACGATAGATATTGACGTTATCGACGTTATATTGATATCTTTTGGAAACATCAATTTTTGATTAATGATTACTAATAATTTTAAATATATTCATGCCTATCACTTGCAAAGATTGATCATTTATTTAATGAGATTTTAATAAAAGCTTGTCCAAAATTCAAGTATACTTGTCTTGTTTATCTCTCGAATGTTGCAGCAACGACGATAAATCGACGTTGGCACTCCAGACACATGCATGATATGACGATACATCATAGTTCGCCACTCAAAGGATTAATGCATTTAAATTACGTCCCAGTATGCACAGATATACTGCTGCATATCGATACAAGCACTAAAAGTGGAATCTGGTTGCACGCGTATTCGTCATATTATGTTTTATGAATACGATATAACATGATTCGTATACACAAAACGATGATATACTTGCCACTCAACAATTTCCAGTAAAATTTATAAGGATATTTTTTTTTTACACCAATGTCAATCACGTTATTGATAAAATTTTGATCATTTATCGAACTGTTGGAATATGATTCTTTTTTCAAGATGATAGAAAAAAATTGTTCATGTTTCAAATTCAATACCTACTGCATATTCATTTATGCATGATAAATTTCATTTATGCATGATAAATCAATAACCGGCGAATAAAAATTAAACTGCGCAATAAAATCTAACACGTTTATGCGGAACATTTGTGATATTAAGATTGCGAGGAGAAATAAATTTCATTTCGAATGCTTATGGTACTTCGAAATACAATGTCGGCATAAAAGCGCTATAATACTTTACATGCAAAACACATAGAACATAACAAAAATAGGAGAAAGATATTCTGAGCATCTGTATTGCATAAAACATGCATCCGCTAATGCAAAATTCTGCGTGCTATACTTACAAAAAACTAAAAATACAACCATCACCGTTTTTGACTACGTCCTTTAGAATGAAAAGCTTGCTTTTTAAGAGATGCAATAGACTAGATATAAATTGTGAAAAAGAATCTAGAAAGTTTATACGTGATTTTACATTGAATATTGTGAATTTACTGTCGAAAAGAATTTGCAAAATATTCCCTATGTTATATTATTCAAAACGTTTACACGTTTTAATTCTAAACGTCGCAATGATTTCCCGTAGTTTGCAAATTTTTATCGTTATTCATTCTATTCTTATTTCGATAAGTAAAAGCATTTGAACGTATTCAACAGTTCGAATACGATCTTACAATTAATTGATATGTTACATTTTATGAATGTTTAACCAGACGAATAATTTTCCTATTTTTTAATAAAAAAAAAAAAACAATTACATGCAGAGCTGTTTGCGGCATAATTAAAATTAATAATTGATTTTTCAATTTATTAATTAATGCAAACGTTGAACGAAATGTTGAATGAAATGTTGGTGCAATTATTTAAATTGTTGCTATTATTGTTATAAGTTTTGTACAGGTTTTGAAAAAGACATATAAAATTGATATATCAAATATATAGTCTCGGAGTTATTTGTTCCTTACAATTTTCGCGATGATAAACGGGTAAATCAACCCCTCGCTCGCGTGAAAATATCGCACAGCTTACAATAAGGTGTTCCTTTCTAAAAAATAGACTCCATAAATTCACATAGGAAACCAGCCGCGCGACACAATAACATTGGGGATAAAAGCTAAAAAGAACATAAAACGCAACTGTTGGACTTGAGATAAAACTTGGATGAAATGCGCTCGCACGTGTGCGGCGCGCCGCCGCAGTCAAGTCTTTACGAATGATTCGAGTCGAACCTTTGGGGTCATTACTTTGCGGCAAGTGCGTTTATAACCTCCTGTACGAGTGGCGATATCTACTTGAAGCCATCTATTAGAAACGATCTGTAAAAAAGATCGAGAGAGAGAGCTGTTCGCCGCTCGCCGCTGCGAGTCAATCTTCAGAGTCCGTGTACACCCTTAGTCCGACAAAGCAACGATTGCATCCGTTCGGCTGTGCGCCCCAGTAGCAATGGCCGCGATCCAATTATCGGCCTGTAACTTTCAATCAATTCGAGCAGAAAGTACTCGCGTCCGACAGTTTCGATCAACATCTCGCGGAGAAAACTTTCAAACGCGAAATTTCCGATTCGATCGTAAGTTGAACATTCGGAAGGATTCTATCTGTAATCACGTCTGTCTTTCGGAGAAAATTAAATGCGCTCAGTTAAATGCATAATGATTAGATTTGATTAAAGTAAAAAGGAAAGAGAATTCTCAAAGTTTTGTTTGCGAAAAATTGGCAATTCGCACTGTGCTCGTGTGTTTCAAACAAAAAGACACAAAATATACAATTTCGCGTATGATTGATGGCTTTGAACAAAAGGTAACGAGTTCTTTCTCTTTCGTCATGCATGCTGGATAAATGGCTGGCATCGCGTTCACGTGGCGCGATTATATTATTTTCCAGGTATTGCGAGTTGATAGCGTCAGTGGGAAACGTATTTTCCGCGAGAAACGTAATGGTGGAAACTACAAATCGTTGCGATATATGGTCCTGGAGATGTTGAGATGTCGTTGCGCGCGTATATGTGCGAGCGGATAAAGTTCTACAAAGCCGATGTCTCCGTTTAGCGGAAATGGTGTTCAAACCTCCATTTCCCAAAACAATGCACGGAAAAGGACTTTTGGTGACAGAGTTGAGGATTTATATTTTTGTGACCCGCATTCAAATTTGCATCGTTGATGAATTACTTGGATTACAGCGCACAATGCAGTGAACTTGTACGCGCTTCACGATTTGCAGTGATTTTCGCTTGCTTAAAAATTTCACAGACTTTGGATGCGTCAAAGAAATATTCTCGGATATTGAACGTACTTTAAATAGAGAACTCTTGCAACGTGGATTATTTATATCCTCCTTTTATCACATCGTTTGTACCATAAAAATAAATTGTCGTGTTTTGCGAAAGTTAAATTGCGGCTTTGTTGCAAAAAGGCGTTTAACTAACCGTTTAAGAAACTGTTAAAGGAATGTCGGACTGAAAAGTTATCTCTTAAAAACCATAATGTAAGTGCCATAAGTAGTTGAAGCAAAAACTTGGTCCAATAACCAACCCCGAAGTAAACGGCGGCTGCATTAACCATTAAAAACTCCGTACAAGTGGTTTTTATTGATTGCACAAAGTGAAACTATCTTGCTAAAGTTAAATTATTTATTTACAAGACACGAATAATTATTGGATGTGAAGTAATTGTAACGGGAATTTACGGCCTATTGATGCTTTACGATTTTAATCAGACGTTACCAAGGTAGTAAATAACGTATATGGTCCAGTAAACATTAAGCATACGTCCCTTTACGCACCCTCACCCTCAACCGTTTCCCGTTAAACCTTCTACATGCTTGATCGTTCATTTACGGTTATATTGGAAGTAATTTACATTGGATATAGGGTTCAATTTAGTGGAAGATGTAGCCGTTCGGGACTCATTTGTATCAATAATGAGTTATTCCAATATTCAATTTTAACATTTTATCATTTAAACGACACTTGTGCTCATGTATGCGTAATGTTTTTGTGCGACTGCAGTTTCAAAAATTTTGAACATTTTTCTGCGTTTATTAAGCATACAATAACAATT